ATGCCATCCAGAGTAAGAATCTGGTTAGATACCATATTTCTAAGCTTTTCAGCGCCGAGTACAATGACCTCAGTTTTATCTGAGTTAAGAAGCAATGAGTGAATGAATGAGTGAAAAAAAACTGACTGACTGGTAAAAGTTGACAAAAGCTCACAAGACTTGACTGACTTGACCACTACTCAAGGTTAACCTCCACCTAGACAGGACAAAGGGTGGATGAATCTATGTGTGTTTCTTTTTACAGGAGCAGAAAGATGACAGTAGCATCCTAGGTTGCATGAGCTTTGGCCGTGCCGATTTAACCTTTAAATGCCACTTTCTGTGTCTGTGAATTTACCAGTGGTGTGTTATTCATGGGCTTGTGTTGCTCACAGAAGTCACTGTGAGAAAGTGTGTATACACCTGCGCAGCGCTAACATTTACATTTCTTTTCTACAGCAGAGGGTTAATCATGTGATTTAATCATGTGATTTACATACAGTATTGACACACAACTTGATGTTTTTCTACAACAGGATTACTGAGTTTTTGTGTGAAGAAAACTGTGGTTACAGGCTATATGTTGGTGATGAAATTACACTGTGTTGTTGGAGAAAATGTGAATGTTACAGGGAAGAAGTGAATACAGTGTGATACTGTGTTTGACACCAGTGTTACTTCTTTTTACAGCAGAGTGTTAACTTTATGACCTTTTACAGCACCTCTGGAATCTGGATGACCGACGCCTGACCACCAGGATGAATCGTGTATTTGGCTAATGTTTGTGTTTCCTTTAAGAGTGCTTGTAAAGGATTCAGCACAGACAGACAAGTGACAATTGAACAGATGTGCAGTGGTTACAGAATAGTCACATGGGGCTCATTATCAGACCACTATTGGGGCTCCTGGTGAGTGACAAACTTCAGGAAAGTCACTGATTACAATGTGGAATGACGATGAGATGTTTAATGATTTGGAGCAAATTATGGAAAAAGTAGGAGTTTAATGAGGTTAGAATAAACCTGCAATGATCATTGTCTCTGTGATGCTGAATACTTTATTACACTTATGAGTTGCAGTTGGTTGCAAATGTGAGTTGTTTAAAACTTAAAGACTTTGTCTTCCAGGATACAGGCTCCGGGTGGAGCTGGGAG